ACAGAAGCTGTTCCTTGTATTAGTAACTCAGATCACAGTAATGGGCAATTTTGCTTCAAACTTCAGCTGTCAAGCAGTACAGGGATTGCACAGAACTTCCACTGCACAAACTCCATGTATTTCTCCTGACAGGGACTGGAAAGAAGAGCTCTGCAGATAGCCTGCAAGGGATGCAACAGCTTTATCTGGCACCCAGGCTGAGGAGCACTGCTGAGGGCAGACTTCAGTGTGGGAGATGGGGGTAGCTTTGGTCTGCACTTCAGCACTAGGTTTTCTTGATCGTTTTCCATGTCTTGCAGCAGTGTTCTCTTTAGAAACAACTCTGCTCTGAAGTGCCAAGTTCAGCAAAGCAACCTAACAATTGTGACTGAAAGTGCTCTCTGAAAGCTTATTAAAAGGAGAAAAAAAATTGTCCTGAACTTTGAAGTAATGGCATTCTGCTCCTTTTCAAGTACATGAAATGTTTATACTCATGAAGAAAAAAACAGATAAGTCCATTTTTCCTCTTTGTTCTACCACATGCTTTCCTGGTCATTTGCTTAGGTAGAATTTGGCATTTCTTGGGCCACTTATAAACATGTAATGAAGCTCTAATGACAGGAAACCATGACAAAGCCATCACTGCTTTGTAACCCACATAACACTATATGCAATGTTAGTGCCTGAATCAGTTTTCCATGGTTTCCACAGCAATGTGGAACAGCTAATCCTGTGCAAGTGGGTTTTGTCAGCAGGAGGAGTGAATGATGCTGTAAATACTGATAGAATTTAGTCAGGAACAGTATGTCTGGCACTGGGAGAAGCTGTGCCTGTCTGCCACAGACATGTTACATGATCTTGCATTACTGGCTTAGTGACTTAATGTTATTTTATTCAAGTTAAAAACCATCACCTTGCATCTGAACAGAGTTAAGAGATCAGTAAGACTAACAGAAAGCCAGCTTTGGTCTTGGGGTCTCCATCAGCAATATTTAAATGTCTAAATTTTCATTAGGTTATGACCATTCAAAGTAAACTTTTCCTTTAATCTCTCATCCTTACAACAATGAAATGAGATTTCAGTATAAGATTAAAAAGATTGTGGCAAAGTAACTCGAAAGGTGATTTGGAGAGGCTTTCTCTTGTGGATTGCAGTCTGAGACACCTGCAAAAGCAAAGGGGACACCAGTGAGGTACCCAAAAATGTGACTCACAGCAGAGCATATACATTACAAAATTTTTACTGTTCTTTAACATAACATGTTCTCTGTTAACTGATAAGACCCCATGTAATTTAAATAAAGCATTCAAGGTAAATGGATGGATAATGTCAATGCTTCCACTTTCAGTGTGTATGGGACAATAAACATTGTTCATCTGCAGAGATGAAGCAACTGTTAGCTTAGGAAAGCCAGCATTGTAAGAAGCACTCTAAGAGGGAAGAAAAAACAGGTGATGTTTTCTTTCTCCAAATAGCTCAAGAACCTGTTGGGAGAAGTTGAGTGCATTATCATGCACAAGCACTTTTATCCGTGAATATCCATAGTGGTAACATCCTAACTCCTGAACTGACTTAGCAGCCTTATTTAAAATAATTTCCATGACTATTTAAATACATGGCACTGCTGTCAGTTATCTCTGTGAGCAGTAATGTTAATTTAGTAAGATAGAAGAGCTCACTGTAAAGTGCTTGTGCTAACAGAAGGGAGGCAGCAGGATGCTATCCATCACTGGGAGGACAGAAAAGATTGCTCCTCTTAACAACACGTTAAGACTTGGACCCTTAATCACCCTTCAAAATTAGGGGCCAATACTGATTTATGCAGCAGTATTACAAAGGGAGGATGAAATTAGTCCTGGATAGGAAGAATGTTACCAAAGTTTCTACTATTTAAGATGCACTCAAAATCATTTGAGTCATACAGAATCTAGACAATTTCACAGAATCAAACTTTGCTCTAAAGGAATTTAACAGACACACCTTAAAACATTTTAGCATTTCTTAAAATGTGAAGAACATCTATTGTACAAGAAACAAGCACGTAACATAAAGAACACCAGTTATTACCTACTAGGTTGTGCTAAGGACTGTGTAAAGTTACACCATTTAAAAACAAGCATCTTGAACAAAACCACTGTGGGCATGAAAATCATGTCACTTCAGGCATTTAAACCTAGGGCTTCTAAAAACTGCCTTCGCAGTTCATGTCAAAAAAATGGCATGTGCAAAGTATGACCCATTTCCTTCACACCCTTGGGTACTTCATGCCAGCTTTCCAATGGATGTGAGGTGCCAGCAAGCTGCTTTAGAATTACAGATGCTGACTACACAAACACAAAGCCTCCTTGAAGAAAAGCTATCCAATAAATCTGTGTTTTAGGTTTTTTTTTTAACTAGATTGCCACCTGATAAAGCTTAATCCACAAAACTTAACTGCACATTCCTTGTTTAATTGTTTTACACTCACATTGAAGTGGTTTCACCCATTGGAAATAGTTTATTTTTGACATTGTTTGCAAAATTTATTTTTAGCATGCATTGTAGCCAACGACAGAGGCACATTCCAACAGGGTACTACAACTGTGCAGAGAATGAAAAACAACCCGTCAGTTTTTCCTCCACAACATGAGGTCTCACAGCAAGATTAGTTTTACAACAAAGTGCTTATTCTTCAAATTAATACAGCAACACTTGAGCCTATTTTATTTCACAGCCATTGTAAGCAGCCTCCATCAAACAGATTGATATTATTTTCATAGGACAGCCACCCAGAAACTTCTGAAGACAATGTCAATATTTTAACAGCTGTTTCCAAAAGCCTGCAATAACCTACTCTTGCTGGTTTGGCTCCACAGAAGTGTTTAGAAATTGGTCTGTGATCTGCACTATTGTTGGACAGGGCCAGTTTTAGCATAATCAAATTATCCTGGTCAGTATGAAACTGAGAGGGAGCAAGATCACTGGTGTGTTTTGTTTGTGTTTTCTTATTTTTGTGTTTTTTTTTTTTTTTTTTTAAATTTAATTTTATATGTGGATAACTGAAAGATATTCTAAGCGATTTGTAGGCTTCTGATTAAAACCACTTTGTTAGGTGACCAATATTTCCTTTACAGAAAAAAGTACTTGCATGTGCTGCAAGTGTTACCTAAAGGACCAATAAAGGGAAATAGCCTTCCCTGGAACACAGAAACAACCAGTTATATATTAAGAAGGTAAATAATAAAGCCTGAACAGTCTCCTAGCAAGAACTTTTAATAGAAACCACATAGAACTAACTAGATTTTAGATTATTTTGTGAAAAGTTTGTTTGCACATTGCACTTTTCTCCATCAATTAAAATAATTTTGCCTTTTGATCAACAAGGTACATCAGTCTATTAGTTGCAGAGTTGACTTTCACATTGTAAGGTGCACACTGTATGTATAATGCTTTCTACTACCCTTAATACTTTGAATATTAATAAAACTTTATTAACACATTTTTCTCATTCTTCAGTGATCACTCACATGTATGCAACCTCTGCAAGAGTTGTGAAAATGCTGTCTCTAGTGAACCCTGTAAATTTTCATTATGCCAATAGAAGAATGATGACCCAGGACTTTCCTTCCACAGTGTGGGTCACAGGCAGCAAGAAGCAGGTGGAACATGGGAAGTGCTGGGGTCTGAATCCTGAATTAAAGTTGACATATGAATGATTCTCACAACCAGGCAGAGGATTTTTCTCTCTGCTGGGAAACTAGCTGGGTGTCTTTAGAACAGTCTAAGAAAGGTGTGATTAAAACCAAAATAGCAGAAGAAACAATCTGACTTGGCTTATTCCTTCCCCTCTTATACCATCTACTGTGAGTAGGTCTGTTACCCTGCTTATTCCCCATGCTGTTAACCATATTATGTTATTTCTGTATTCTCTGGAATTAGACAATAAAGTTTGGGTATGCTTTCTGCTGATGGCTGTATCCTTTATGCTGGGCCACAACTGGCAAAGCTACAAGTTGTTAAGCCATCAAAGGCAGGAACAAAGTTGAATAAGATGTCTTTTTTTTTGAACTGAGCCACAGTTGTTTGTGTAATCTTCACAATGTTTTGCTAGCTTGCTTTTGTATTCCTATACTTCCAGGAAATCCCAAACCACTTTACCCATTCATTATTAATAGCTCCAGCTGGCTTTAAAAGTGATTCTAATATTTATTTGTAAGTAACTTTCCACTTAATCTACAAGAGGAGAAAAGTTCCACTAATACCCTCATTTGTTCATCTTTCAGTAATTCTTTCTGAAGAAAATTCACATTCTACAGCTATGGTCAGCAGAAGTTTAAAATTGCCTTACACAACTTGTAATACATCTGGCTCAATTAGATCAACATCAATGCAGTAATATAGCAAGAAAAACCTCACTAGTCAAACGCAGGGATAAAGACACCTCTTTACTTGAAAATACAGAGATTGCTGCTGGTCCTTATAGAACTTAGCAATAACAAGGTATGCTGAAACAGCAATAGGCCACAGCCTCTTCAACATTCTTGCTGAGTTAACACATAGCTATGCCAAAATTTGCAAGCCTGCAGGTAAAATGTCTATTCACTAGCAGATACTACACAATGAATTAATGAATCTTTATAGCAACAGAAAAAGGCAAGGAAAAAAAAGATTGGCACTATTATTCCAAAGGTAAACGTTTGTGACTTTTTTTTCAATTAGGAGAAATATTACAAACCTGGAAGATTTAACTAACTACAATTTTCACCACAATATTTAACAAAGATTCTTCTAACAATCCTCACTTTTCTTAAGCCAAAAACGAACCTTATTTCTGTTACTGACAAAAGCCCAAAGCTTTTAGCCCTGGAAACTATTAATTTGAAGTATCGAGACACTGGAATATCTTGACTCCTTTAAACTCCCACTAAAGGCAATACATGATTTTAGACATCCAGGACTAAAAATTTTGCCAACAGTCTGAGAATAAGCATTCACATTTAACAAAAAAACATGTACAGGATAGTTCTTCATAACATTTATTTTCCAGAAACCAAATTAGAACATCTACTGTAGGTATGGGGTCCCAATTCTCCTTTTTAAGCTACTTCATATATGAAATTTATACATAGCATCTATTAGCAAGACAGGACTGATTAAGTATTCTCTTCAGAAAGCATCTGCTCAAACTTGTAAATCTAGATTACATAATTTTCAGTGTTAAAAGTGCTTTTACCATGAATATTCAGATACATACAGTCTCAAAATACTTCATGAACTCTGAAATGGTTTTCTAAGGAGGGAACGTCATCAGCAAAATGTAGTTGATAATTTATTTCCACACCAAATTCTTCAAGTATCTGTACAAATTTCTCATGCTCTCTCCCAATCCATGACCTCATTGTGTCAAACACTTGGTATGGTGTAACGTGAGCATGAACTTCAATTCCTGTCTCTGCAAGTTCTTTGAGCACTTCAGGGTGGGTAACCCAAGTATTGCTTCCTCCCGAGTGACCACCATCCAACCAGTACATTGCTTTTATGTTTTTTAAGAAGGCTTCTGTATTCTTGTCTTTTCTAGCTTCCTTCAGCTCATAAAGCAGCTGGTTCAGAACCACACAACCTTTACTGAAGCCAATCAAAGTAAATGACACTGCACCTACAGCAGACGGTGCAACGAAGTTCACAGCAGAATTATTAGAGCATTCACAACCTCTCTCTCTCTCTGTGGACGAGCAGCCATTTGCTGTAGGGACAGGCTGCGGCTGCGATTTACAAGCAGCTCTTTTTGCATCCTTGCTGACACCACGCAGACTTTTCTGGGCCAGCAGAGTATTCTGAGAGAGTCTGAACGCGTTAACTAGCAACGCGTGGAGATGCTTGAAAGCTCCAAAGTCAGTGCTGTGCTCTGGTGCTCCAAACATGTTGCTCGCCACAAAGTTGTCGTAACAACTGAATTTGTGCAGGTGCATTCGAGAACACTTTACAACCCAAATAAAGCTATTGGGGAACCGGCGAGCCAGGAGGGTGGCAACGTTCTCAAAGCTCCAGTGCTCCCACTGAAGGTTTTCTGGGTGGCAAGACATGATGTCATGATAGTTCTGAAAAATTTTAAAAGAAAAAGGAAAAGACACATTACTACACTGTGAAATTACTTCACCTCTGTCTATTGTACTTAAGTTAATAAGAAAGGATTGTAACTAACAGAGAAACATGCGTTAAAGAGGCATTTGCTTGTTAGGCTTACAGAACAAGAAACACATGAAAGAAACTCCTATTTTTAGATTTACTTATTCCATTTTAACCTTTTTACCACACATTTCTAATACCTTCAAAATAAATGCAATAAAAGTAAGTACATAGAAGCATTCATAATTTTTTTTGACTTCAAGAAAAGATTAAAGTATTACTCAATTCACCAAGACACAATACCTAATTTTATTGTATAACCTCCATCTGCAGAAATGCCGATTATCTTACTATAAATCAACAACAGACTTAAAATTTTGTAATAAGTTTTCTCTCTTTTATACAGAAAAAAAAAAAGTTTCCTCTCAGCTATGGGAGTCTTTATTACCCTTGTTCACATCCATGTGGGGCAGAGATAGAAAAAAAATTAACCCCCAAATTATGAATGATCCTCACCTCTGAATTTATAATGGCAGAGTATATGCATTAGCTTATCTTTTAAGGAATAATAAAGCTATACTCTGCAATAGTAATCAGAAAGGTTTTCTGAGGCCATCGCAACCCTTAAAATGAAAATCTGCAAGGTTCTACGCCTCTACCTTATAGAAAAGAAAAGAAAACCCCTTTCCCTAGAGCAAAAAGACACTACCCCCGCTTTTGAGAAAGGATGGCTGTTGAGATTAGCCGGCTGCCCGGAACACCGGAGTGTGTCACAGGGGTCGAGCACACACTTAGGGACAGCACTTCAGAGACTTGTTTCAATTTCTTGTCAACTCAGAGACAATACTGTCCTCCATGGCACGCTGAGAACGCGGCAGAAACACGGGCAGGACGCTGCTGTCCATCCGTCCGGGACGCCTGCACAGAGCCGCGGAGCCGAGCCTGACCAGGACCGTTTCTCACCGCAAGATTTCAACGTCCTCACTCCACCGGAGCTGTCCCGGGCAGCGCCGCAGAGGGCGGCTCCCGCTGGGTTGCCGCTCCATTTCGGGCTCCAGGAACGGCCCGTTCCCGCC